GTTCCCTCCAAACACACCAAAAAACACAGTGTGGAATAACCCTCCACACCAAGGAAGTCCTACTACTACTACTACCGCTAGGCCCCTGCCAACATGAAAGAAGATCGAAAACTGTTCTCCCCAAACAAAGCAAACACCATATCCCACAATTCCCGAGCTAGCTTGCAGTGCAGAAGAACATGATCAGGACTCTCTCCACTCTCCCTACATAAACAACACCAATCAACCAAGATAAGGCCACGCTTACAAAGGTTATCAATAGTCAAGATCTTCCCCAGTGCTGCGGTCCAAGAGAAGAAAGCCACACGGTGAGGGACCTTGGATTTCCACACACACTTCCAAGGGAAAGTTCTAAGAGATGGGGAGCTCAAGTAGCGATAGCAACCCTTAACGGTAAAAGCCTTAGAAACTGGAGAACCCCAACTAATCAAATCCTCCCCTCTACCTTGCACCGGAATAGAATAAAGGAGTTCCATGAAGGAAGATATGGACTCAAACTCCCAATCCTGCACACTCCGAGTGAAAAGCACATCCCAATGAAGAATACCATTAGCGTGAGACATGAGAGCGGCTACTGACACATTTCTGTCAAGGGCGATAGAAAATAGCTCCGGATAAGCCTCCTCTAATGGCACATGACCACACCACCTATCATACCAAAATTTCACCCGAGATCCATCCCTCACCAAATAAAACAATTGTTTAGAGAACAAAGGCCAGCCTTGGTGAATTGATTTCCATAAACTCACCCCATGAGAATCCCTCACTTCCTTTGTACACCACCCCCACCCCAATCACTGCCATATTTAGGAGCCACCACTTGACGCCAAAGAGCATCCCTCTCCATACTAAAACGCCACAACCACTTGCATAAAAGGGCCCTATTGAAACGTTGAAGATCCTTCACCCCCAACCCTCCATTTTGAATAGGCTCGCAAACTTGTGACCACGAAACTAAGTGAAATTTTGTCTCCTCCCCCATGCCAAACCAAAGAAAGTGCCTCTGGATCCTCTCTATGCGATGTGCCACCCCAGCCGAAATAGGGAATAGCGATAAAAAGTAAGTGGGTAAACTAGAGAGGTATTCTTCTAACACCTTATTTTGCCCCTATAATAATTCTCCGTAACACCTTATTTTGCCCCTATAATAATTCTCCAAAAGCTCTCCCTCTCCACTCCAAATCGCCACAACCACTTACCCAACAAGGCCTCGTTAAACAACACAAGACTTCTCAATCCGATACCATCGATTCTAATAGGAGAACAGACCGCACGTCAATTAACCAAATGCAACTTCCTCTCCTCTCCTAATCCTCCCCAAAAAAACTC